GCACTGCCATTACCACCACATTTGTGCCGTGTACATTAAATGGTACTCAGAGAGTTTGTATAATAATAACAACGACAATAATAATAATAATAATAATAATAATGGAATTTTCTGCAGATTCTCTATCATAAAGAGGTCAAGGTAGCCTCCTGAGCTATATTCTGGCACCTATGCTATATTATGGTAAAAAAAATTAAATGGCCTTATCTCAGTATGGTACAAACCATCCTACCAGCTATGAATTCCTTGATGGATATTGTGGTCAACACTAGGTAGTTCTCTTACAAATATTTTCAAAGTCATCACTAGATTTGTAGAGACAGCTAGACTTTGTTTTTTTCCTAACATCATACAAATTTGACCTTTTTCATGTAGTAAAGTCTCTTCATTTGGGAATGCACATGTCTAGAGCTGGACCTGACCTACATAAGGCATGTGGAAATTTCTGTTGGCGTGGTGAAGTAAATTACCCTTCAGACATAATGAAGCTTAGAACTGATGTGATAGTTCATTTATGGCTGTGAGCTTATATATGACAGATAACATCATTACTCATCAACCATCTAATATTCTTTTCATGTTCTTAAAGGTATTTGTTCTGATTTCTTCCTGCTTCACCTACATAATTGTTCTGACTTTATTTCTATCAGAGAACATACATGCCTTTGCCCTGGTTGCCCTTCTCTCACACAACCCTTCTCACTCATATATTTGTCCAACCTAGTGTTAACGCTATGCAAGGTGTTAGCTTCAGTGACTCCTTGGCAGCTTTTTCTACATATCTGCAACTCAGTTGCTAAACAAGTATTTTCCTGCATCCTGTGTAAGTTTGAATTTATCCCATTTGAAAACATTCCTTCCTGGTTAGATACCCTCAACACTTTATTTATATCCTGTTTGTTTACATCTGTTATCATTTGTTTACTTTGGTCATATTTCCTCTCATTCTGTGACTTTCAAAGAGTGCAGGTTCAAGAATATTAATCTGCCTTCATAGGACAGATTTCTTATACAGTGGATTAACTTTATCCTTCTCTGTATATTTTCATGTGCAAATATATAGCCCGGGCCAAGAGGGCGTTGGTCCCTGAAACCCTCTCCAGGTATACTCCAGGTATACATTTATTAACCCTTTCAGGGTCCGTCCCGTAGATCTACGGCTTTACGTTCAGGGTCCAAACCGTAGATCTACGTCATGAGCTCAGCTCACTCTGATAAACTGTGAGTGGTACATTTGGGCCTAGATATGAGAGAATACATCTATGTGGTATGTGTGCACCACATAAAACAGATCCTGCAGCACACTGTGTATAACGAGAGAATAAACCGAAATCATGATTTTTCGATTAAAACAGCGACTTTGCAGTGTTTTTTCGTATGTTTTTTATAGTTGTATTTGCGATTTCTTGGTCTTAATTGATAGAATGGAAGACATATTACAGAAATAGAAATGATTTTGATTGGTTTTAGCACTGGAAATGGCTTGAAACTGAGCTCAAGTAGCAGAAATGTTAAATTTTGCGATATTCAAGAGTAAACAAACGACCTCACACGTCTAATACACGCCAGCTGTGGTCTAATATGCATTCACAAATATGGTGATGATATTTATACAATTATTACAGTATTGCATAACAGTAAATCTTCAATTTTTTGGTGTGAATAAAAATTCATTATGTGAATAAAAAATCAAAATGGAATTTATTTGTAAAGCCTCAAAACATAACTAATGAACAGAGGAAATGTTAGTTTAGTTCCAGGAATACCTACATTGTTTGTTCTGGACCCTATTTTGAAATTGGAATATTTTGAACTTTGTGTTAAATTGGCCAAATTAACAATTTCCGATCACTTTAATTTGTAGTTGAAACAGTTGACTTGCTGATTTCTTGTGCTCAATTGATAGAGTAGAAATAATACTAGTGAAATAGCTAAGAATTTGATTTACTGGAATAATGTAATTGGCCTAAAATGGGAGTCAAAGTCGGCAAAATTGCCGATTCATAAATATCGCTGACACATCAAAATTCGCGAGAGCATAATTTCATCAATTTTCCATCAAATTTCGTACTTTTTGTTTTATTACCTTCACAAAAAGATTCTTTACCATTTCGTAAGAAAAAATAACAAATTTTTTTTTTTAAATTCTTGGACACTGGGGCACCACTTCAGATTTGGGCCTTGGACCCTGAAAGGGTTAAGGAAATGTTTTGCCAGGATATTTATTAAGGAAATGAGGGAGAGAGAGAGAGAGGGGGAGAGAGAGAGGGAGAAAGAGAAGAGGGGGAGAAAGAGAGAGAGGGAGAGAGAGGGGGAGAAAGAGAGAGAGGGAGAGAGAGGGGGAGAAAGAGAGAGAGGAAGAGAGGGGAGAAAGAGAGAGAGAAAGAGAGAGAGGGGAGAAAAAGGGGGGGGGAAAAAGAGAGAGAGGGGGAGAAAGAGAGAGGGGGGGGAGAAAGAGAGGGGGGGGAGAGAGGGGGGAGAAAGAAGGGGGAGAGAGAGGGGAAGAGAGAGGGGGAGAGAGAGGGGGGAGAAGGAGGGGGAGGAGAGGGGAAGAGAGGAGAGAAGAGGGAGTTGATATCCTTGGGGTAAAATTTGACTCCAAACTAACCGTAAAACCAGTTTAAACCCACAAAAAAGGGCGCCGGGAAGCTTCGCACTCGCCGTATTCGCATTGCTTGACAGTGGGGGGTTTCAAGATTCTGTACGAGGACAAGTGCTCACACCCTTTAGTGTGCTCCATTTCTTGGTTTTCCCCGCCCCCCCCCCCCCCCCTCATCTGCGACGCTTGAAAAATAAGAACAGAAACAAATGTCTATCTCTTGCCTGGGCCCCCTCCTGGATAGATCTTCATTTCAGAGAGCTTTAAACAGGGGGATGTGGGGGGCCTACTGTTTTGTCAAGGCCAATATTGTTAAAGTACCAACTTTTGGGTCCACTTGAGGACAGCGTGAAACAAACTTTTTGCCCCAAGAGGGGAGAAAGCAGCAACTTCACTCTGGCTCTACCCCCTTTTCCCCGAAAGCACTCCTCTGAGATATAATACCAGGGGGAAATCGAGTATGGAAACATTCGTACAGCATAATGATGTCAACGAAATAGTCAGTTGATCAAATGAAAATGCTGGCCCACAGATGGCTCCAACTTCATCCTGTTCCCTACTTGTATGTCTCATAACAATAAAAATGCTTTCAAATGAGCTGATGTAGGTAACAGCTCTTAGCTTGCCAATAAAGTTAGGAATCCTTAACCTGTAAATAGCTTGTCAATAAAGCTAGGGATCCGTAACCTTGTCAAACCCTGTGTAAAAAAAAAGAGAGAGAGAGGGGGGAGGGAGGGAGCTAGCTAGCTAGCTGTGTGGTAGCACTGGACATTGCTGGTGCTTTCGACCGGGTATGGTACCAGGGCCTCTTAGCAAATCTTCAAGCACTGGGAATTGCAGGCTCTACGCTATGTCTCCTCAGTGATTACCTTCATGGTAGATCTCTAAGGGTAGTTCTCAATGGAATGGAATCAGCAAGACATCCTACTGGGGCAAATGTTCCACAAGGAAGCATGCTGGGACCATTGTTATGGAATGTCTACTTCAACGACCTTCTTCATCTCATCCCAGAACTCCATGCATATGCAGACGACTGTACACTGACATTCACTTATCCAAGAAAAGAAATGCCAGCTGCTCTAAGCTACATCAATCACCAGCTAAGAGCTATATCAGCTTGGGGAAATAGATGGCAAGTAACATTTGCACCTGAGAAAATGCAAATGATGATGGTCTCTAGGCACCATGATGGTAATGCTGGTGCAGTAGTAAGGATGAATGGGAGGGTGTTGGCACCTGGAGAAGAAGTTGATATCCTTGGGGTGAAATTTGACTCCAAACTAACCATGAAGAACCATGTTGTAAATCTTGCAAACAAGGCAGCCAGGAAGCTTACAGCACTTCGCCGTATCTCGCATCTGCTTGACAGTAGGGATTGCAAGATTCTGTACGAGGCACAAGTACGCTCACACCTTGAGTGTGCTCCACTTTCTTGGTTTGCCCCCCCCCCCTCTCATCTGCGACTGCTTGACAGAGTAGAAAACAGAGCAAGACATCTCATCTCTTGCCTGGACCCATCCTGGATAGATCTGTCCTTTCAGCAGAGCCTTCAACACAGGAGGGATGTGGGTGGCCTTACTGTTATGTACAAGGCCAATATTGTCAAAGTACCACACTTGGATCCACTTCGAGGACAGCGTGAAGCAAGCTTTTATGCCACAAGACTGGCAGAAAGCAGCAACTTCACTCTGGCTATACCCTTCTCCAGAACATCACTCCATCTGAGATCATATATACCCAGGATGGCTCAAGTATGGAACACATTCATACAGCATAATGATGTCAACGAGATAATCAGTTGATCAAATGAAAATGCTGGCCCACAGATGGCTCCAACTTCATCCTGTTCCCTACTTGTATTTCTCATAACAATAAAAGTGCTTTCAAATGAGCTGATGTAGGTAACAGCTCTTAGCTTGCCAATAAAGTTAGGAATCCTTAACCTGTAAATAGCTTACCAATAAAGCTAGGGATCCTTAACCTTGTCAAACCCTGTGTAAAAGAAAAGGGGGGGGGAGAGAGAGAGGGAAGGAGGAGGAGGAGGAGGTCAGATGAATTGGAGAGAGGGGTCAGATCAGTTGGAGATAGTGTGTGTGTGTAGTAAACTTCAAGTTTGTTAGTGGTCTTATTGTACATCTGAATGTTACATTTATAACCCACTTTTTTACGCTTTTTGAGAGATATAGTGGCGATATATATATCATCATGGTTTTCTTAGTTAATTTCAGTTTTATTTACATGTATTGAATAACTCAGAATATTCACCTCTTAGTCACACTTGATCAAAGTTATGAAGAAATTTTCCATTTACTGTATACTCACAGTTACAAAATTTAGTTTACATTGAATTGGCCATTTATTACTTCTGAGAAAATAACTGATGCATAATTTTTTTCTGCAGATGTATGACCAGTATTTAGAGAGTCACTACTGTATCTTGGAAGGCTTGGAGACTTCATTCCGCAAGAACCGGCAATTTGAGCAGGTTTATCGTGATTTTGAAATGCAGAAAGTTTGCTACTTGCCTCTAACTTCATTTATTTTGAAGCCACTCCATCGCCTTCAGCATTATCATCTTCTCCTTGATCGTATGTATACATGTTTTTGTATTGTGATGCAACTGCATATCTTACACTCTTGCGCCCAGTTTTGCTACTTTTTTTTTCATTGATGCCAAAAACTGAAACATTCTCATGTCTTAAAATTCTACAAAACCTAGAGGCAAGCCCAGCCTCCTTTAGGGTTAAGATGCACCTCTTTTATTATTGAGATTAACCCTTTGAGAGTCCAGACCCCTGATCTTAACTTGTTCTCAGGGTCCAAAAATTCCCCCTCACCCAAAATTATTTTTTTCTAATGAATTGGTAGAGAATCTTTTCCAAAGGTAATGACATTAAAAGTACAAAATTTGATGGAAAACTTGCAGAATTATGCTTTTGCAAATTTACTGATCTCACCATTATTTACAAACTTTGAGTCCTATTTTAGGTCAATTCCATTGTTCCAGTCAACCAAACTCCAAGCTATTTTGCTAGGACCATTTCAGCTACCCAATAACCATTTCAGCTACCCAATAAAGTGATCAGAAATTGGTAATTTGGCCAGTTTCACACCAAATTCAAAAAATGCCAGTTTAAAAATAGGATTTATTAATCATGTCCCCAGGTTTCTATATTATACAGTGGTACCTCGGGATACGAACAGCTTCCAACTCGAACAGTTGTGTAAGTGTATTTTTGGGGGTCTGAAACAGATTAACCTAATTTGCATTATTCCTTATGGGAACAAATTCCTTCGGTATCAGCACTCGAACAGTCTTCTGGAATGAATTAAGTTCGTATCCCAAGGTACCACTGTACTTGCTTTCCATTTTGAATTTTTTTCACACAAAATATAGAAGGCTCACTGTTATGCAGATTACTGCATTATTTTAACCCTTTGACTGTCGCAAACCCATTTCTGAAATTGTCATTCTGTCGAAAAATATTCGAAAAAAAACATTATTTTTCTTACCAAAATGTTAGAATTATTTTGCCGAGTGTTTTAACCCCTAAATGGTCCAAACATATATATACTTTCCTATGCGTAGCGCCCCAAATATATATACGTTTTAATTTTCCTGCCTCCAAATTTGGCACGATTGGCCTGAGATGCCTGGTCAGCATAGAATGGGTCTTAACACTCGGGTGTGTGCAGTTATTAAAAAAATCTGGGACCACTTAGTACCTTGTGGGAGCGCCAGTTAAACTGAGCCCCAGCTAGAGCAAACAGTGCGGCAAACACCAAGTACTCACTGATGTAATGTCATATTAACACTTCTCTTTTAAAAGGAAAGTGATGTTAACCCCAAGTTTAGGGTCTGTCGATCTCTGTCTGTATCTCTGTCTATCTGTCTCTGCCTTTGTCTATCTGTCTCTATTTCTTTCAATCTGTCTGTCTATCTGTGTCTCACAGGTACACATAAATACAAGTATACGTAGTATAAATTACCTAGGATAACCCAAAAAATCCAGACAAAGTGCTATACTCTGCTTGAAGATGTGAGTAAAGGTGATGACGCAGTTTTGTGGCTCTCTCTGAGACAGAGAGCTAGATGGATAGACAGATAGATAGGGAGCTTGACATAGACAAATAGATAGACAGAAATGTTTGTGTACCAGCGAAAACAAAGGGAGAGCAATGCTCATCAAATGTCACCTCTAATCTTTTCTAATCAGCTGCACCCTCCCCCACCCTTGTGTATGCTCATTATCAAACGTCAGCTCTTATCAGATGTTATCTCATCTTATCATGTCACTGTCAGGGGTGGACTTTGTTTTTCATGCTTCAAGGAACTTTTTTTTTTTTTTTTTTTTTCAGCAAACCGGCCGTATCCCACCAAGGCAGGGTGGCTCAAAAAAGAAAAACAAAAGGGGTTACTTGGCCCTTGCTCCCGGAATTCTGTTCCACTTCCCCACGGAGATAAGAGAAAATAAACAAGAACTAGAAAGAAAATAGAAGAAAACCCAGAGGGGTGTGTATATATATGCTTGTACATGTATATGTAGTGTGACCTAAGTGTAAGTAGAAGAAGCAAGATGTACCTGAAATCTTGCATATTTAAGAGACAGAAAAAAGACACCAGCAATCCTACCATCATGTAAAACAATTACAAGATTCCATTTTACACTCACTTGGCAGGACGGTAGTACCTCCCTGGGTGGTTGCTGTCTACCAACCTACTACCTACAAAGGAATTTATTATTACCTATTATTATTATTATATATTCTCCTTCTTCTCCTTCTTCTCCTCCTTCTCCTTCTTCTCCTTCTTCTTCTCCTTCTTCTCCTTCTTCTCCTTCTTCTCCTTCTTCTCCTTCTTCTCCTTCTTCTCCTTCTTCTCCTTCTTCTCCTTCTTCCTCTTCTCCTCTCCTTCTTCTCCTTCTCCTCCTCCTCTTCCTCTTCCTCTTCCTCCTCCTCTTCCTCTTCCTCCTCCTCTTCATCCTCCTCCTCCTCTTCATCCTCCTCCTCCTCTTCATCCTCCTCCTCCTCCTCTTCATCCTCCTCCTCCTCCTTCTCCTCATTATTATTATATACTTCTACATATCCAAAACATTGCTGGGACCTATATATAGTTTGTATATATTCCAAGACAATAGTAAATGACCAAGGCAGTAAATGTCCATCTGTCAATGTGTTTGTGACAATTTGAGTACAATTTCATTACCTAATACTAGTGTCAGAACAAAGATTGGTTATGAAATGACAAGAACTACTATAAATTGTAATTATCAGAACATAAAAATTATATAAAATATGAAAAATAGAAAAAAAGGTATATCGGCAACACTTCTGCAAGTAGCAAGACTCCATGTTGCCATCACATGAGCATCCAGTGCCAACTTCTCTGCCTCATATCTCTAAGTACTGACCCTAATTTTTTTTTATTCTAAAACACAGAAAAATGTGCTCTTTCTTTTCTATAAAAAATTATTTTTTTTTTTTTTCAAAATATTCGAGGCGCTGTGCAAGTGATCATATATATACGTTTGGACCGTTTAGGGTTAAGCCTAAAAATTTTTTTTTGTGATCAGTACTTACCAGGATATAGAGGTGTAAAGTTGGCAGAAAATGAGACATGTATGGTAACAGCGGTGAATGCCGCTCACCCAGCAAAATTTTTTTTACTCCCATTCGAAGATTTCTTGTTTGTTCCACTACTTTATTTTCTCAGGTAAATTACGTGGCCTGTGAGACCAAAGTAAGGTACAATGTACATACAGATTGGCCATCACTAATCCGGCATCACTGGGACCTGTAGTGTGTTGGATTAGTGAGTTTGCCGATTACAGAGTGGTTAGGTTAGAATACACTTAACCTATCAATAGAGACTCTGCTACATCTTCCTCATTTTCATCACTGCTTTCTCCTCCACTGGCTTGTTGCTGTGGATTTTTTTTTTCTCTCAACAAACTGGCCGTATCCCACCAAGGCAGGGTGGCCCAAAAAGAAAAACGAAAGTTTCTCTTTTTAAATTTAGTAATTTATACGGGAGAAGGGGTTACTAGTCCCTTGCTCCCGGCATTTTAGTCGCCTCTTACAACACGCATGTCTTAAGGAGGAAGGATTCTGTTCCACTTCCCCATGGAGATAAGAGGAAATAAACAAGAACAAGAACTAGAAAGAAAATAAAAAAAAAACCAGAGGGGTGTGTGTATATACACATGTATATGCTTGTACATGTATGTGTAGTGTGACCTAAGTGTAAGTAGAAGTAGCAAGACATACCTGAAATCTTGCATGTTTATGAGACAGAAAGAAAGGACACCAGCAATCCTACCATCATATAAAACAATTACAGGCTTTTGTTTTACACTCACTTGGCAGGACAGTAGTACCTCCCTGGGCGGTTGCTGTCTACCAACCTACTACCTAGAGGATTTACAGCCATCTGCACAATTTCTGAGTCAGTATAATGGTGGAATTTGAGTCAGTATAATGATTTGAGTCAGTATTATGATGGAATTTAAAATTATGCTAAATGAAATTAGTGTCAGATTACTGATGGAACCAGATAACTGATGGTCAACCTGTATATACACTCGTTGTATACAACACAATAATTGCACAAACATTATCATCATTATATTGTTTACAAAACTTGTTTACACAAACCAACAATACAAAAAAATGTTTATTACTATTGTTCTATAATATATATACAAATGTACAGTCACTGGACATGTTCCTAGAAGTTTTGCAGCTTGTGGAACTCTTTGAAACATGGTTTCATGCACAATGGTGTATTACAGTCATCACACACAAAACGAGTGTGTGCATTTTTGTAGGTGTTTTTTTGTATGTGCACAGATAAAATGCCTCGTCTGAGCAGTTTTCTTCACAGTAGTAGCAGGCAGTTGTGTTAGGTAGTTATCCTGGGTAAGTGGTTGTATGTCATCATTCCTACCTACCTACCTGCCTTTCTTTCTTTCTTCATTCTTTCTTCATTCTATCTTCATTCTTTCTTCATTCTTTCCTTCCTTCTGGTTTCTATAATATATATACACATATATAGTCACTGAACACTTTCATAGAACTGCTATTACTATCTTCTGGAAGATTGTGTGTGTGTGTGTGTGTGTGTGTGTGTATGTGTGCGCGCGCATGCACGTGCATGTGCGCATGCGTGTGATGCGTGTGTGCGCATGCGTACATACTCCTAAATGTGCTCAGTCAGGGTGCGATAGCTGTCAAAATGACATATTATATCATCACTCACTACCCTTACTGGTTGTCAACACCCATGGGGTCCACTGCCTTCCTCCCCGTCGTCTCCTTTCTTTGTTTCTTTCTTTCTCCTTTCTTCTCCTTTCTCCTTCATTTTCCTTCTTTCTCTTTCTTTCTCCTTTCTCTTTCTGTCTTCTATATCCTAGGCTTGCTTTCGTCAAAAACCCTTCTCAAACCAGAAATTATTTTCCCTCATTTTCCATCTCTGTTAGCCTACCCTTGGGAAGAGAAGAGTCCAATTCTCTTGGAAGTAATATTTTTCCCATGGCATCTAAACAAGGACCACTAAAATGGATTTCCACGGCACCACTGGCCCCCCCAA